TGATAAATTGTTAATAAATTAATATCATTTTTAATAAATAATTTTGTGATGAACTTTTAATGAATTTTTGTTGAATAATTATTGAATTTTTGACAAATTTTTTGTTAAACTTTTAATGAATTTTTGTTGAATAATTATTGAATTTTTGACAAATTTTTTGTTAAACTTTTAATGAATAAATTTTTGATTGCCAAATTTTTGTAGTTGCCAATTTATTTATGTCATTTTTTTTGCTGAATTGTTTATTTTTTGCTGAATGTTACACAAGTGGTAGTATTTTTTGCTAAATGTTACACAAGTGACAGTATGCCAAATAATTTTTTTTCGACTAGTGATATTTGAAGGAAAATAAGGATATATGAATATATGTACTGTTACTGAGTAGACTCTAGGTAGGTTGAATGTAAATCAAAATTTGTTAAATAAAAGCCATAGGCACAGATGGGTAAGTATACCCATATTCAGATAGAAATGGGTTTAATTGACGATATACTGGGAGACTTTCAAGTCATTCATGCGGACACCAATATATCACCTGGGCCTTCTTGATTACTCACTCTTTACTAATCTTAAAACTGTAAAGTCTTTCTCTTCATCTCTACCTTATTTCCGTAAAGACTCAGTAGAAGCTTCCCCAAACCTCTATTAAAAGGGAAATGTAAAACAGGATGGACATGGCTGAGAAACACTACAGTTCATTGTTTTAAAACAGCATATGACTGCTCCTTTCTTTTTTCTTTTAATTTTCTTTAATAATACTCGCACGCTCAGTGGGATGTGAATTTCTTTTGTAAAAAAGAGGGCAATCAGCCTCGAAGTAGCATTAGCTTATCGAATTCTTTATTTACTCCCGGATATACACCCCTGTACATACGCCTTGCGCAATTGTATAAAATGCAATTTGGAAATTAATAAAGATTAGGCATGAGCCCGTTTAAAAAAAAAAAAAAAAAAAAATGTTAAGTAAAATGGATAATAAATTTTAATTTTTCGACAATTTAAAAGTGTATCCAAATTACAAAACGATCAATTATTTTATTAACAATAATAAAAAAAATCAAATCGTTTTATTATTATTATTATTATGTGTTCATGATTCTTGTAACAAAAACAAACCTTTTTATATAGTATATTATATTGATAAAAATTTTAATGTATTGATATTTCTATAAAACTTTGAAAAATACAGTATATCTTTCGATCTTATTTCTTATAAATAATTTTTTATCAAGTTTTAACGAAATGAATAATTCTTTAACCACTTTGAAATAAAGCAAGACAAATTACTGTACATTACATTATATTATATATACTGTATATGTACAGTATATTGAAGTGGATCGTTTATACAACAGTTATTTTAATGCAATTACACGTTCTCGATATAACCTTTGATTTAATATAATATAATAGTATAATACATAATTGTTGCAGTGTATGCATAATACAGCATACCGTGTTCACGCACACTCATTGACTCTCAAAGTTTTTTTTCTCAAGTGAAAGGTTGATGATTTAAATAAAGTTGAAAATGTTATTCGTTGGTTCTAAATTCAAAACCTTTTGCATTTGTACAATAACAGCTTAATTTACAGAACTCCATTTGTACTGATCTCGTTGGGGTGGATGCAACAGACCATTATTCAAATGAGGTTAAGGTCAAAATGACGACCATGACCAATCGGAGGAAAATAAAAAATAAGAAAAAAATAAAGCAGGATCTTACAAGGTTTGATCAGATGTAATCTCCTAATAACAGATGTGTCTCATTCGCATACGTCTCAAACGTACATTTCACTCGTGACCACTGGTTTCTGATGGCTGTACCTTTCATTCTCGACATTCTAAGGCCAACCTCATTATCATCTGTTCCGTAATTTTCCATGGCTTTTGTGATGTCCTCTACCTCTTGTCTGAAAATTTTATCGAATCCATGGAATTTTTCAACCATGCTTCTAAGTCCTCGAATCACATTTCTGATGTTTGTTCGAATCTGATTAATTTGGCGTAATTCGCTCTCAGACACTTTTGCCAATTCTCCATATCTAACGCTTGTCACAGATGTACCTGTGAGAATAATACAAAAAATTGGTTAAAAAAAAGTAATTCTAATCGTTAAGATTAAGATGACAGTACCTATCATTGCACCCGCAGACGTAAGACCCAAAGCACCTATAATATCACAAAGTCAAATCGACTACTACACATGGAATCTTGTGAAACAGATCTAATTGGAATCTGCACATACCAATGATGGCAAGCGATAAACCTCCAGTAAACGGTGCCGCAATAATTGCTACTCCAGTTGTGATCCCGGTTCCTACCGCGGCAAAGGTACGAACTTTCTGTCCTTTCCTTGCCTGACCGACATGTTGTTCCAACTCCTTCTCAATACCGGTTTGAGAGGCAAAATCCTCCATTTCATTTACGATATTTTGCAATGCGATCAACATGTCGCAGCATCTTTCGACTAGACTGGTAGCATTTAATCGGTTTTTTGTGGCGGTTTGAGCTTGATGTCTCATAGTTTCGATAAAATCCGAGGCCAACACTTCTTCTTCCATCAAGATCTGCACATATCTATAGCATATGAAATTTTTTTCAACAAAAGATCAAACTTTTAACAACATGAACATACATATATTTAACTCACTCCATGAAATCTGTTGCATAGACAGCCATTTGCACACAATAATCGATTGAATCCTTAATCAAGGACATAAATTTACGGTCCTGCTCCAAAATGGTTATAGCATGGATATTTGTATCCTCGACTTTTTCCTCTTTCGAAAATTCTTCGAAGTTATCCAACACCGATGCAATGTCCTGGAATAGCCCTTCGGTAGAAGGAATTTGAGGAATATTGAATTCAGTTATATTGAGAGTTTGTTGAGTGACGGATGGGGTGGGAACGACGGTTGGAAGGATTTGCTTTAAAGAGACAAGAGAGTTCGTTAGAACAATAAGACAAAAAAGGATCTGAGTACTTGAGATACCCACCGTAATCATACTTGATAAAACTTAAGAGCAGAAATTAAATTCCAATAATTCTAATGATCAGTTAAAAAAATTCGTATTGTCAGCATGCATGACGTGACAGCACTTTATATATAGGTCCTCAAGTAGCACAATTTGATTCGTAAAATCTCAGGAAAGAGTCATTGTTACCTAAATTAGATGTGTACAAATGTGTGCACAATAACCATCGATTACGTAGAGTGTATCGGAATGAGGCACGCGTTGGTGGCTTGTTTTAGAAATATGGAATAAACACGTATGTACTGTATGTAAGTACATACATATCAGTACAATTTACTTTATTTAAATATAGTGCAGTACATGGGATTTTCTAAATGCGTCTTACAAACTCTTGTAATCACCTACAATTTCACAAATGGTTGCACTTGATTTACGTACGCCTGAAACACCTCTTGCACCCGCGCCCATTGTCTATTCATGGATGTATACTTCATTCTCGAAACTCTAAAAATTACATTTTCTCCGTCTACTGCATATTTCTCTGTAACATTGGTGATATCCTGTATCTCCAACCTAAAAAATTCGTCGAATTCACTAAATTTGTCAATTATGGTTAAGAGTTCGGTCGTCAGGATTCCAACGTTTACACGAATTTCACTTATTTGTTGCAATTCGTTCTCAGATAATTTCGCTCTCTCCCCGAATTTAACGCTATTCACGGAAGTACCTGTATAAGAAAAGTTCCACATTATGTTAAATTTCACATTGAAAGTAATAAGGATGCTGCGTTCTTACCTATCATCGCACCAGCTGATGTAAGTCCCAGTGCACCTATGGTACCAATTAATTTAGTTCTCGCCTCGTGATAACATACAAAATAGCAAAGACCTACCAACAACAGCAAGTGACGCCCCGCCGGTGAACGGAGCGGCAACTATAGCCGCACCCGTAGTAATTCCAGTGCCTACTGCAGCCCAAGTATTTGCTTTCTGTTCTTTCTTTAAATTCTCGGCATCTTGTTCCAATTTCTTTTCGATCCCCCTCAGACTTGTGTATTCTTCGAGTTCTGTGGCAATTTTCTTCAAGGAGGTTAAGACTTCACAATATCCTTGTGCCAAACGGGTAGCACCCAATCTGTTAGATGTGGCGGATTGAAGTTGAGATTTCATGGCCTCGATGAAATCTGCGCACAATACATCTTCTTCCATCAAGATTTGTATGTATCTACAAAAATTTATTATCATCATTATCGGCACCATGTTGATCCTACGGCGTAATATCATAAGCCTTCATGCTCACTCTATAAAGTCCGTAGCATACGAAGCCATCAAACTGCAGTGATTAACTGAATCCTGGGTCAAGGATTGAAAATCATTCGCTTGTTCCAAAATGCCATTAACGATTTTATGGATATTTGCGTCGTTGATCCCATCATTTGTGCATTTTTTAAAATTCTCCAAGACAGTTCTAACGCTCTTTGACAAACCACTGTCAAGGAGAATTTGTGGATTGCGGAAATCTGTTATGTATGTGGTCTGTGGGACGGAAGAGACTGAAATGACGACAGGTTCTGATTGCTATCACACGCACAGGATTAGTTCGCTTGCTTGAATGAGGAGATTTATCTTTAATTATCGTGCACTCACCACTACCATTTTTACACGGAATATTATGTGTTGTATAGAAAAGAAGGTACAAATACAATTTCAGAGATCTCAATTATATGTGAAATAGGTTACACGGGACTGCGTATGATCATGTATAATATGAAAATAGGAGATACAATAAGATGAAACCAATTACAACTTTGATATCTTCATCGCTTTCATGGCATTACCTCGTTTCTCAACCTTCCTAGGTACCCTGATCTCTAACAACTCCCCGTCCTTCAACTCTGCCCTAATACCATCGACATCGATACTGTCCATGGGAAACCTAACACTCAAAACATATTTTTCGTAATGATTCTCAGGTACCCTTGAATCCTCCTTTTCACTTTGGTAATCAACCTCTTTAACTTCATCGGACTCCTCTTCTTTAATATCCTCCAAAGGTCTTCCCCTCAGAGTGACCATTAGCAATGTTCCAACATCATTGACCTTCACTGAGATATCTGACAAGGGGATACCATCAACGTTGGCGTGAATGATGTAGTGAGACTGAGTGGTCGAAGTTGAAACATTAAAGGGAATGGAGAAACTTGAGAAAACATCCCCGAATGCGCTTCGAGAGATCGTCGGGAAAAATGGAAAGAAATCATCAAATATGAACATTTTTTTTTTTAATGGACGATAGTGAAAGCATTGCCGATTTTTATATGTTATCGTTCAGGAATATTCTATACTTAATATGAACAAAAATGTCGCAACGGATGTTCAAATAACATCTACTACGTACTGCCAAAAATGATACAAAAAAAAGAACAAACATTTTAAATTCTAATTGTGAATTGTATTACTTTTTTATTTTATAACTAAAAATTCCAATACTTTAAACTAGAATTTAAAGTTGTATAATTATGCAACTGGAATCTTAATTATAATTAAATATAAGATTTTATTTAATTATAAATAATTATAATGATTATATTAACCATTTACATTATTTGAAATAAAAGATCAATACTAATCTATTGTGTCGGTTCTTAAAAAAAAAACATGAGATAAAAATAATAATAATTTATAAATGATTAATATGTACTTAATGATAAATTACTGCGCTAATATAAAAATTAACAAATATATTACGGACTAAAGATACCGAATTATATAACATTATATTATCTTATATAGATTTAAGTCTCAAATTTATAATTTAAACTGATATAATTTGAAACAAAAAAAAAATCTCAAATTTTTTTAAAAATTAAAATTTCGATATTATAATATTCATTGCTTTGATTCTTTTAAAACTTGTTTTAATTTGATTTGAAATTTTTCAATGACACAATCTTTACTAAAGATAATTAATTAATATAAAAAATATTATCATAAAATGTAATAAATATATTCATATACAAATAAATAAATAAAAATTTTAAATAATTAAAAAAAATTTTTTTAAGATCAAAAATAAATAATTTTTTTAAATAATTAAAAATAAAAAAAAAATTTTTGCAAATATAAATACTGTATATTAATTATCAATTTAATGTTTGTACATATAATTACCATTTATGATATATTTTATTATTGATAAAAAATATAAAAATTGATAGAAGGAATTTATAAAGTTTTTAAAATATTGTTATATTAATAATAATAAAAATATAACTATCTTAAAAATAATTATTAATGATTCAAAAAATAAAGAAATATAACTTCATAAGTTTAAAAAGCTTTAAATATCAAAAATTAAACTGACATTTTCATATTTGTAGATAAAGATAAATTTAATAATATAAAAATACTTTGCTAATATAAATAAAATTAATGTTATACTTTTTAAGCTTTTATTCAAATATGATAAGAAAAAATCCAGAAAATATAGTTATATAAAAAATAATTTTCTTATCTTTTTATTTAAAAAAAATTAATATCATTTCTTATTTTTTTATATAAAAGAAATTAATATTATTTCTTATATTTTTATTATAATAAAAAAAAAATAAATAAATCATCTTTTATAACAAAAATATTAATCAATAAAATAATATATTAAAGATTAATCAAAAAATCTTAATAGTTACTGAAAATATAAAATTTATATATTTTTTTTAATACTTACAGTTAAAGATGGGTCCCTAAAGGGGGAGGCAGAAACAAAAGTCAAATGCCACTCACTAGGAAACATTAAAATTTATAAATTAATAACTATTAAAAAACTAACCATAATTGTTCTCCATTATCTAAATTATTGATTTATAACATTTCCTGATTTTTGTCTCTATTAAAATACAGAGTTATGAATTTTGTCCCTCAAAAAAAAAACATAAGTGATCTATGAAATTTTATATGCTAAATACTTTAGAAATCTATCATTATTTATAGTCAGGTCAACATAGTGTATTTATTAATCTTTAAGAAAACTACTAGAGATATATTGAGCAATTATATCATGACTAAACTAAATTTTATACTAACTTACTCGTCAATAGCTTTCAATTCTCAAATAAGTTTAAACCTCTAAGTGCACCTTTGGAAACAATATTTCACTCTGAAATAAGTTTTGAATAAAGACCCTCCTAACTTACTTATCATTATTAACAGGTTATCACTGCCTATTATCCTTCAAGGAACTTATTTCGAGAAACTACAATAAAAGAAAAGAAAAATAAAAGAAAGAGAAATATTTAAAAATATATAAATATACCATATAAAGAGAAAAGAAAAAAAAAAATAAAAGTGTTTTATATCTTCCAAAGGATCTCTGCTAAAAACCCCCTCTTATTAAAAATCAACTCTTCTGTAATATTTTTCTTCTTCTTGATCATCTGAGAAACTTATTAATTTGTGATCTTAATTATTTTCTTGTAACTGTTTAAGATACTTATCACCTAATTGAATCCAGTATCTTGTTTGTTGCTTTCTTTCTTTCAATCTTTATTTTGTATTCATCTGCATCAAATAATGATTTATAATAGATTCCAAGTTCTTATATAACCTTTTAATCATATTGTATAACTACTGATATCTTCCAACAGCTATGTCTAGTTAAAGAAATTTTATTAGTGAGCATCTTCTATTACCAAAAAAGTCAGATTTTCCAATAGTCTTTTTGTCTTGCAATGATGGGAGGGTCTCATGTAATATAAAGATTCTTGTCAATTATATATTATTACACAATGTTTGGGGAAATATATTTTCAATCCTAGAAAAGGATAGTAGCTTATATTCTTTTGCTTTTTGATCTTATTACCTGACTGGAATAAGGAAATAATCTCCTTTATGTATTTTGCCTAACCAGGATAATAAAAAGTTGAAGACCTCAGCTTGAACAAATAATCACCTTTTCACTACCTAGGAAATTTGGTGCCTATCCTAATGGCCTCATAATTTTTTTACTTCAATTATACTTTATTTGGAGAAGTGGAGAATTCACATAAATAGATTCTCTTTCTTTCATCAATGATATCATCAGAACATGTAAACTAACTAATAGGTACTTGTTTATATTCAGCTATTAATATATTTTATGTCCATCAATCATATTTTGCAATGGGTTGTGTCACCTAAAATTCAGGATCAAATTAAGTAAACAAAATTCTCCAGAAAATTAAAAAATTTTTGGATGACTATAAGAAAAAAAATATAATGAATAGACATCTTAAATATAACTTGATATTTGTCATCTTCCACTGCTAAAAACCTCTATAGATATGCTTTAATATAAAAGGCTTCAAGTATTATATTATTGGTTTTCTTCTTTATAGAACTTTCTTGCTATTGGTAGAGAAGATGTTTCTTGACTTTTCTAAATCACAGAAAGTCAAGTTTTTGTTTGAAAACAAATATAAATAAGAAAAGGGGTTTGGGAGATCTCTTGAAGTAAAACTTCAAGTTGATTTAAGAATAGCATTAAGACTTTATTAACAAAAAAATAAAAAATTTTTCGCAAATATCTTTTTTGTATATAGTCAAGGAATTGGCAGAAAGAGTTTATTTTGAAAATATAAAATTTATATATAAATAATATTTAATTAATATATATATAGTATTTATAAAAATATATATATAAACAAACTTCTATTGATAACATTTACATGTTTTAATGATGTTATTGATGATTGAAAAGAAAGTTTCAGAAATGTTGTCTCTCTAAAAGCTTAAGTCCCTTAATGAAAACTTCTATAACACTAAAAGACCAAGTGATAGGTAATATAGATTGCAAACTCCTATTTCTTACCTAAGTTCTTCAAGTGGTGACAAAGCTTTAATAAAAAAAAACTGAGATCTACAGTAAATATTTTTCTTGAGATATCCCAATCTGGTGCTCATTTAAAGGACCAGTTAAATTGACTTGTTTAATGTCATAGGTAATGAAAAAGAAGATTTCTTTTGATATTCAAGTAAAACAAAAAGACTATTCCAATTAGGTAGATTTCTTTTGAAAAGAGATTGTTTTATTTTTGAATTTTTTGATAGGCCTTAAATTGTCCTTTTCCCTTAATCGTTTTCCCCTTTTCCTTTTTTAACTTAGTAATTTATTGGGTTTTGAACAAACAACAGTAACAAACTATTGACAATGATCCTAATAGATAGAGATTAATATCATCTATTAGAGGAGTGTAATATTGTTTTCAAAATCTGACTTAGAATAGTTATATATGAAGATGAGTTAGTCACTTTGTAAAAGTTTATAAACTATTATAGATTTACTTTTATTTCTCAATAAAAACAAGCTATTATGATATAGTAAAACTCTTCTCACTAATTCACAATTTTTCAGAAAAAATTTTTTTTTTTGATAATTTTTTAAGAAAAAAAGAAACCAATCATAAAAACAAGAGTAACTATCTTTACAACTAAACAACTTACAAAAACAAGTTCCAAAACTTTTTATAGAGTACAAAAGAGGTAAGTTTTATAAAAATTATTAACTTCTACTATATAAATTTTTTCTTTTAAAAAGAGAAAAACAATAAGAAAGATTGAATTACAGTAAACTCTTGAAAGCCTAACATCAACCTTACAAAGCTCCTAGCCAGGCCAGTATAGGTTAATATCTTTCTAGACATCAAGAGAAGCTTTACAAGCAATAACTCAAACTGATAAATCAGTTCAAGTCTAAATACTCACAAAACCTAGAGGGACGTCCAAGTTTAATTAACTATACAGTAAAAAAGCATACATATCATAACAATAATATTTCAATAATATTATATCACACAAATACAGACACATATATTTTTCATAACAAGCTCAAAAATATATCAAATAAACAACATTAATACACTTTCTACATGTTTACCAAATCAATTATCAACAATTCCATAATGCCACATATTTACATAAATCAATTATCAACAATTCATAACCCCACATGTTTACTATTGACTGATCAACAATATTAACAATACTATCACAATATATACATGAAATAAATATTACCAATTTGTCAAAACAAATAACAAGGTTTTTCTATATTACCAAAATAATAATAAGGAATAAACAAATCTGCAACACATGTCTAAGAAAATATAACAATGATAATCAGCAAAACACAACAATATCAAATATAGTCAACTTACTTCCTATCATATGATCAACATGTCTATGAGGAAACATAAACTTTTACAGATTGCCAAGAAGAGAAAAGCACACATTATAAAGAC